TTTATTTTGAATTTATATTAGTTCACACAAACACTCCATCCATGCTTTTGTTCCGGCCCTCCGGTCCAGTTTAAGAACCCATTGTGGCCCTCGAGTCAAAAAGTTTGCCCACCCCTGCTCTAGACCTTATTCAGATTTTTTGTTTTTACCTACTTTTTCTGTTACAGGATCCTACATTATATTAGTCTTCATGTCTGCTTAGGCTCCTTTAAAATGTGATTGTTTTTCAGACTTTCCTTGTTTTTGGTAACTGACAGTTTTGAGTCCTAGTCAGATACTTTGTAGAGTGTTTCTCAGTTGGAATTTTCTGAAAATTTTCTCATGATGAAACGGGCTATGGGTTTTCAGGAGGAAGACAAGAGGTAAAGGGCCCTTCTCATCCCCTCAAAGGCACACGCTGTCAGCATGATGTGTCACTGGCGTTCACCCTGATCACCTGGCTGCAGTGCTGTTTTCAGGCTTGTGTCCACAGTAACGTTATTCTCCACCACCCACCCCACTTCCACACTGTGCTCTTTGGAAGGAAATGGTATGTGAAGCCCACACTGAAGGTGTGGGGAGTTCTGCTCCTCCTTGAGGGGAAAAATGGCTTTATAGCTAAATGAATACTCACTGAGACTTCACAAAGTGTTTCAGATCATTACAGGAAATCTCACATCTATGCCCCGCCACTAAATACCAGTATTGAAACCTAACCAGAAATGCCCCACAAGTTTCTGAAACAACCTCTAGGGGTCAGTACTGCCCTGTTGAGAATCACTGGTCTGGTCTAAGACTCCCAATTCTAGTTTCTATAGAGTGTGAACTTAAAGTATTTACAAAGGAATCTGAGTTCAGAATCCACCGTTTTATGCTTTCCTTCTTACATATTTTTGTTTGTCACTAGTTCAGCAGCCATTTATTTTAGCTATTTGCAGTCCTCTAGAATGTTCAATTTGCCTTTTACATAAACTCATTTTATTTCATTAAATTATGTACTTATGAGGATAACTGGCTCGAACATGTTGGTAATGGAAACAACTGACTTGATAAGCACACA